TTTGTTGTGAGCTACCCAGAGTTATTTAGAGTTGGTGGCATACACATTAATACAAAGGAGGTTGTTGTTGTTGTTATTGTTGTTGTTGTCCACCCAGTCATTGAGGTGTTTGGACTGGATTTGGCATTTTTATCCACCTATCAAATCCATCCCAGATGATCTGGGATAGGCAGAGGTTGTTTGATGGTGTTAAAGGCCCCAGGATGTATTCTGTTCCAAGAAAAGTTGCCCTTTACTGTTGATTGATGATGCTTTTGTCAGTTGTAATAATAACAGTAAATACACACCAGTCTGAAATAATAGCTGCCAATTCATTAGCTAATGTTGGTCTTCATATGCATTGCGTTTGTTCCAAGAGCCTGGGATATCGTAATGTATGTGTGGGTATATGCAGATGTAAGATGGAAATTTCGTCAATGCAAAGATTTTCCAAGATTTTTCTAAAGCAGTGTTTCTCAACCTTGGCAACTTGAAGATGTCCGGACTTCAACTCCCAGAATTCCCCAGCCAGCGCTGGCTGGGGAATTCTGGGAGTTGAAGTCTGGACATCTTCAAGTTGCCAAGGTTGAGAAACACTGATTTAAAAGCTTTTTGATACGGCACCCAATATTCCAAAAACCATTGGAACCATTGCTGCCAATTAGAGAAAGTGGAGAAATATCAAAATACGCAAATCAAAATAAAAAAATTACAACATAATCTTTTAACTTTCATTTGCATTGCTTGATATTTCTCCAATTCCTTCTCTTCTATCCCCTTATTGTCACATCAATTGTCCTTACTTTCTTTTTTTCAATCACAGTTAAGTCCAGTGTGTTATGCTCCAAGAGTTTATCGGTTTGTATTTGGAAAGCCCAAAATATTTTAACCTGCTCATTTTCTACTACTTTTTCACCATGATGTTCCCATTAATGTTTTATTGTTAGCATATGATAATTTTTACAGATGTTCCAGTGAATTGTTTTGGTGACTTTGTTATGTTGTTGTTTATAGTCAATTTCCTCCATCTTGTATAAGTTGAGTATGTGAGCTATTGTTTTTTCAGCTTATTTGTACAGTCAGCACTTTGAATCATTTGACCCTTCCCACTCTCTCGGCCTTCCGAAAAGCCACTAAAACCTGGCTTTTCCGGCAGGCCTGGGGCTGTTGACTTCACGAACAATGTCCAGCCCCACCTAGACGGAATGTATGGTGTGTTGTTTTTTAAATTTGTTTCTTTTTTCTTTTTAACGTTTTAACTATTTATCTTGTTTCTGTAAGCCGCCCAGAGTCCTACAGGATTAGGCGGCATATAAATTTATTAAGTTACTAAATTAATTAAAATTCTGGCCTTGATTGTGTTAGTTTGAATAGCTTGCTCTTGAACAGCCAAACTTAACCCTTCAGTTTCTTTAAAAAACATTCCAGTTGTAAGCCATTGCCTAGTTTTATGTGCATAAACTTTTGCCACAGTCTTTTGTAGAAATTGATCATGTAATGCTTTCCTTGATAGCAATGTATGTTTTTATTACATTAGCTTGATATTCATGTTTTTGTTTCCTCTACATTCTGTCCAAGTTCCAATTTTTAAGTTGCATCAATACTTGGTCTTGGTGATCTTTTATATGGTCATGATGTTCTTCTTCAATAGTTTGTTTGACTTGAAAGTAAATCTCTGGCTCCATTTCTGTGGCACCAGTATAATATCACTACAAGGATGTAATGCATAATGAATAGTCATGAGCTTTCTTATTTTTTGCTCCAAACTGTCCAGTTCAGCTTGTGTCCAATTAATAATTCCAGCTGTATGTCATATCACAAGAATGGCCCAGGTATTGATGGCTTTGATATTGTTTTCACCATTTCAATTTTGTCTTTTATATTTTTCTCATTCTTTGAATGCATTCTTTACTAATTACATTTCTAATTTGTTATCATCCAACTGTAAAATGCCCAGTTTCTTGTAGACTTCATCCTGATGGTGTCAACATTCCAAATATCATCCAGACTTAAATCAGAGTTCAAGGCAGAGCTTTCCTCAAAGTTCCAATTTATTAAGAGAGACATGTTGGTACATCTGTGGGAAACCTGAATCTGAAAGCTTCCTGGGTTTTCCACCAGTTGAAAGTTCAAGACCTTGCCCCCACACCCACAGGTTCATCACATGGTCCAATTTTCCACTGCCAAGCTGGCAGTTCCACCCATCTACTTCCAGTCAGGTGCAGAGGTGCAAAGACAAAGGATGACCTTGGGCTTCTAGAAGGAATGTTTTATTTTGACAACAATATTCTACTCCTTACTATNCAACTCCTAGAATTCCCCAGCCAGCGAATGCTGGCTGGGGAATTCTGGGAGTTGAAGTCCGGACATCTTCAAGTTGCCAACGTTGAGAAACACTGCTCTAGAAGATGAAACAATGGAAGAGATGTCTATAGCACTGCTGGCGAAAGATGAAGAGCTTGTGTTGATCATCCTGTATAATTTGCATAATCATTTTGAGCAAAGTTATATGAGTCTCCTCATATGGATGATGTTGTATAGATTGTTTTTTCTGGTGTTCTGGGTGGCTGCAGGATATCTGTACTATAATAGGATTTACTTATTGTGATTAGAACAGCATAGTGATTTTACATCCCAAGGTGTTTTTTCAAAAGGCAACCAGACTTTCTTTGTTTTGCTTGAAGATGTTTCACTTCTCATCCAAGAAGCTTCTGTGGATAGTACTGAGACAGCGTTAGTTGCCCCTTTGAATAATCTCTGGAGGCTGTCCTGATTCTCCTGGGTCACTTGCTGGTTTACCATCAATCATGGTATTCTTCAGAATGGTTTTAAGATTTAAGAGTTGAGGAGACT